CGCCCCCGGCGCCTCGGGCCCCAGCCATGGCGAAGCAGTACGATGTGCTGTTCCGGCTGCTGCTGATCGGGGACTCCGGGGTGGGCAAGACTTGCCTGCTGTGCCGCTTCACTGACAACGAGTTCCACTCCTCGCACATCTCCACCATCGGTAAGGGGCGGTGGCCGAGGGGGGCCCCACCCTCCCCGCCGCCACCACCTGCCCGGCGGCCCCTTCCCCTTCCCCACTCAGCCCGAGAGGAACTGTTCGCCTCCCTGGCTCAAGGCGTGGGTGCAGCAGGCCAGGGCAAGGGCATAAATGCCGGGGTGAGGGGCCCCCAGCTGGGGACTTGAGCCTCGGTTTCGGGAAATGAGGGGGTCCCCGCTGCTGTCCGTGACTAGAGTTGGATTTTCCGGCCTCGCGCTGGGGAGCCTTCCCGTCAAAGCCGAGGGAGGTGGGTGTAGGTAGGCCTGAGTACCCTGAGCTGGGACAGCGAGGATCGAGGATCGTAACCACTGAAATGACACCCCCACACTCGCAGGTGGAGAGGGGGAGGGGAAGTAAAGCCTGTGCTCAGGAAGAGGGGTTCAGGATGGGGAGCCAAGTCACTGAGTCACTGGACACCCTCAGTTCAGGGCTGACCCAATGCGGAGCCTGGAGGGGGAAAAAGGAGGAAGGGAGGGGCCTAAGGGATTGAGTTTCCAGGGCACAGCTGTGAAAGTAAGCCCCAAGGTGGGACACCTGCAGGAGGGCGTAGATAAGGTGAGACGCCAACGTTCCTGTGAAAGGGGTATTTACTAGCCAGTTCTGGAAGAGCAGTTAGCTGAAGCATCTGTTTTGAAGAAGGCTGAGGAACGTCAAGACTACCTGTCCAGACCAGGGGACAGAAGGCAGGCAAGACCCACCTTAGATTACATCTCTTTGATCTGGCAATGCTGGAGCCTGTGCTTAGAGGGACAAGGCCTGGTGACATCCCAGAGGCCTGTGACGGGATCAATTGTTTTGGGAGGGAGTGGTGGCCTCCCCTTTCAGGGGGCTCCTCCTTTGAGCAGTCTGAGTTGAGGGAATTCCACCCACATCTAACAGCTTCCCCACTGATGCCCAGAGTAGCCTCAACACTGCCCAAGTCCCCCCTGCCATCTGACAAGGCTCCAGCACTCAGTTCCACTTGAAGCTACCGCCCTCCCAACACACTTCTTGCTAAGAGAGAAGAAGGAGCAGATAGAGCCAGGAGGAAATTGGCCTCGTGGTTAAGAGACAGCCTTTGCTGTCAGGCAGACCTGGTGCTGGCGGACCTCACTTTGGGGCAACATAACCTTGAATATCACTTAAGCTTCTGACCTTTAGTGTCTGATCTGTAGAATGGGACTAATAACAGTACCTATCTACCAAGGTGTTGTGAGGATTAAATTAGATAATGTTTATAAAAGCACTTAGCACAAACTCAGATACACAGTGAAGCTGAATGAATGCTGGTGTCATTACTGTTACCATCACTGAGCTCCTAGGGGCTCATTCTCTCTTTGCTTCACTATCTTCAAGGGACTTAGTAAGGTCAGGGAACAGATGCATTCATCTTTCCCAGGGAAGCTGTAAGGCAGGTTCCTAGAAGGTCCAGGAGCTTGGGCTGGACCACTGTTTGGATGAGAGACATCTCAGAGGGATGGGTAGGTGCAGAGGCCAAGGGAAGCAGCATGCCTCTTGGGAAGGCTCAGAGGTAGGGAAAGGCCTGGGAGTGAGCAAGGGAGTGGCCGAGGAACCAGATGGAATATGGGGACAGGTTGTAGGTGTGGGGACAAAGGGCAACAGGGTAGCACTTAAGGAAACTTGCAGTGGCTATTTTTGGGACACGCCTGGCACCAGGTGCTACTGAGCTATCACAGAGGACTATGGGCTGGCTTGGGGGCCTCTGGCTTTGGCCTGATGCACCCTGGTATCCTGGCCACATTACAAGTACTAGGAATGATCTGAGATTTTTTCCCTGGAGAGCTTTACTCATTCACCTCACTTCAGAAGCTCCTGAGCTCCTGCTCAGCATTGTGGAGGGAGTCAGCCTCCCCTAGGAGAGTGCCCTCTTCCCCACAGACAAATGAGGGAACTGTTGTTTCTGAAATACCAAGATGGCTCCTCCGAGGCTCATGCTTAAGTCCCTTGCCCCCATATTGCTAATTACTAGTCCTCCTTATGCCTCTTCCACCTTATCTTCTTCCATCTTAGACATTTCTTTCTGCAAGACAGGTAAATGTGCAGTTTTCCCTCGCAGGTCACCGGGACTTCCTCAGAATCCCTCTGGGTCCAACCACTTTGGGGACAGAGGTGAATCAGTGAACTGGGTAGAGATGTCTCTGTAGAACCCTACCCCTCCTGTGTCCTCAAGGCCCTTGGTATATTGACCTAAAACCTGAAGACAACCCTCCTAGTTTCTGATGGCAGGACACAGAGGACTATTTAGGAGTTTGGATTCTGTGGAAGAGAAGCTTTACACCAGCCTTTTTAAATCTACCCACTGGGTTCGTTAAATGTGTTCTTGTTGAAAGCTTACCAAGGCATTGTGATTCTACCTAATCTCAGGCGTGTTTTTCAGCATTCACTAAGACTTAGGGAGCGCGGATGGCCAGGAAAAGCCATTCCCTTTTCTGAATATAGACTGTTTTCCAGAGATGGAAGGGGCAGCCAGGAGACAAATCAAGGAGCCAAGAAAATGGGTACTACCAACTCATATTCATTAATTTATCTAGTCAAAAATAAATAAATAATAAATACATGTGTCTTGTAGGCAGGCTCTGCGTTGAGACCTGGAGATTCCAAGAAGAATAATACACGACGTAGTCACCTCTCTCAAGCTGTTCCTTGACTAAGACACATTCTTTTAATACACTAGACAATGATCTAGGCACCTTTCCTGGAGCTTCTTTGGTGAATGGGGAAATGAGGCAACTCACCAAATTGTGCCAAGACAGAATTCAGATTCTTGGATCATGTTGATATCACTTAGGCTGACACTTTTGTGATTTACTGTGTATGCCGCTTCCTTGTCAAAGCCTGTGACATTCCAGAGAAGGGTCTGCCAGGGAGCAGTGAGGAGATCTCGCAGGTGGGCAGGTGGCCCCACAGCTGGATCTGTGACATTGGCATTCTTCTCCTGTGAGCTGTGCTGACCCAGATGTGGTGCAGAGGTGGGCAGCCGGCGCCTTAATGTTCTCTTCTGTTTCCTGGCGAGACGATCGTACCTGTTAAACAAATTAATTGGGCATTCACTACAAAGCACCGTGCCAGGCATTTAGAGACATTGCAGTCCACCTTTTCCTGCCCACAGAGCCTGTCATCTAGTCAGGGAGGCAAGACAAACCAAAAGAGCCTTGGCCACAAAGAAAATATATCTGTGAGTACCAGGTAAAATATCTGGTGAACCGCTTTTCAAATCCATTATGATCATGATCACAACTGTCAGCAAGGGTCTTACAGTCATTATTAGTAGCTACATCGTCATGTAAGATGTGCATGAGGCAGCCACTGAGTGGCGAGGGGACCGTGAGTACTATTGCTACAACCGAGTGCTAGAGGAGGCCAGAGAAGGAGAGGGACCCTGCGGACCAGAAGCCACAGGGAAGGCTTGAGGAGGAGGGGAGGCTGAAGCTAGGCCTTGCTGTGTGGGCTGCTTTTCAGTTCCTGTAGGGGAAGAAGCAGATGGAGCAACAGGAGCAGAGACAACAGAGGTGGGAATTCAGTGGGTGTTCATGGGACTCTGGGCAGTCTGGCTGGAACAGAAGCGGGGTTTTAGGAGAAGAGTGAGAACAGTTCTGTTTATTTCTGTCTCCTAAAACTATACTTAAAGTGCCTTGAGGATGCGACCAAATCTTATTCCTCATTGTTTTCATTGTCCTAGTACAGGGCCAGGCACACTCTCCATAAATGTTGAATGAATGAATAAATGAATGAATGAGGTCATTGAGGGCATTGAGGGCCTGGCTGAGGGGGTGGATCTTGAGCCTTCACAATAGTATCAGAAGTTTCTGAGCAGGGGAATGACATTGAAAATGACACTTGGAGCGTTGGCTCAAGAGAGGACTGACTTGCAGCAAAGGCTATGGTAGTATCTGGGCATGAAGGGACCTCTCAGCTCCTTCTCTCCTTTCTCCTTCCCACCCTTTCCTGTGGCACCACAAGAGGCTCCACACCACCAGCTGTGCTTATTTCCCACTGACCAACCTGGCAACTTCTGAAAGGGCTTCATGTGACCTGTGCTGCCTGCCCAGGCAGGAGATGAAATGTCCTATCCTACGTGGATGTCTGCATGCAGGGACTTTTGGTTTCCTTTCTGCACGGCAGCCAAGAGTGACATGTAAGCCACTAATGCAGGCTGAAGAAGAAATTGCCCACAAGTTGATTTTCTCCTGCTCATCCTTGGTCTTCCCTGAGTACACCTGTCCCTGGCCTCTGGACCTTTTGTTTTGAAGACCACCACTCAGCCGCACCCTTCCGGCAGGAGGGTGTGCCTGTAATTTTCCGGTTTGACTGGTTGAACAGCTGTGGCTTCACGGCCACTTGGCAGGATCACCTTTCTCAGAAGGTTCTGTTTGCACTGAATCTGGCTGCCTGGGGCAAGGACTTTGGGTGACTGAAGGGGAGTGAGAGGGCTGGGGAAGGACCAAGGGGAAAGGGCTGATCCTTGAATCGAGCTGCCTTGCAAACAGCAGGCCAGTACTTGGGCACAGGGCCCTGGGGTCTGTGGGCCCCCGGACCATGAGGCGCTGTGTACGTATGCTGTGTGACACTGCAGGAGGATCTGGACTGGGTCTGTGGCCCAGAACTCAGGCAGCCTGAGACAGGTCTTTTCCCATCCTGTTCTTAAGGCCCCCCCAGAAAGGAAGGGAAGGTGAAGCCCCGTGAGTAGAATAGAAAGGGAGCAGACCGACAAGCATGAGATTCTCCGTGGCCTTACTGGCTCTGCGACCTTCAGACATTTACTTAACATTTCTGTGCTTAGGTTCCGCAGCTGTAAACTGAAGAAATAGCAGAATCTTTCCTAAAGGTCATTGTGACAATCACAGAGGCTAATGAATACGAAGCACTTGGCAGAGCCCTCGAAAAAAATGGTAGCTGCTATCATCATCATCATCATCATCGTCATCATCAGTAGTAGTAGTAGCAGTAGTAGCGGTAGTAGCGGT